TTAACTGACTTTATTTTTATAAAAGGAATTTTTTCTATGAAATCAATAAATATTATAATTGACTTGTGTTTTTGAGGTATAACTTACATTTATTTGTTTATGTAAAATATTTTCACATAAATACTAAAATTATTAGTAGACAAAAATAAAAATTACTAGTATATAAATAATCTTTCAGTAATTATTCATGGAATAATAGACATGTAACTTATATTTTTACATAATAAATAAATATGAATAAAACAATATATCGTATTTAAATTAGTATCATTCATTGATTAGTTTCACATTGATTGACGAAAATTTTCAAATTAAAAATTGTTGAGGAAAATGTACTTCAACTACATACGATTTGAGATCTTTTGACATATCGATGAGAAAAATCGGTTTACTGAGAGCTGAGAAAAAGTAGTGACAGACACAAAAAATAAAAAATAAACACGTCATGATAAAATTAATATCTTCTTAGCTTTGTAACTAATCTAATTACTTAAATAAATAATGACGAAAAAAAAAGTTTTACTGTATTTTAACGTTTAGGTTGATCATATCATAATAGATCCTCAAAAATCGAAAATTGAGTGATTATACTCCTAGACTGTCATTTTATCCGGACATGGATATTACGGCCTTCTCCCAAGTCCTATGAAAACTTACATTAGTTGTATTTAAGGTTAAGAAAATTTAAATAAAATCATCTGAGTTCATAGTCTTCCAAACGCATTTTAGTAAACAAAATTAATGTAAGTCAAAATTTCTACTTTTTTATGGAAAAAAGGTTGATAAAAAAGTTTTGAGGTTGCTAAATTCATATTTGAGTAATAGTGAGTGTTATATCAATTTTAGTCTTAATTTTTAATATAATATATCAAAATATATGTTATTGAGGTCTCTAAATTAAAGTTGACATTATTTTTTCAATATCCGTTTTAGGAAGTCTCACATTGTTCTTGGAGGTTTTTGAAGCGGAAAATTATTTATTTATAAAATAACACTTAATTTTTGTTGTTTCTTGAAAAATCTGATTCAATTAAAAAGGTTTAAATGCAAGTTAGTATAACAAAATTAAATATTATCGCTAAGAGAACTATTCAAGCTAATAGAAAAGACTTATTATAAACCTTTACAAATGTCTACTATTTTTTTATATCTTTATTATTCAAAACGATAAATTTTTTAACCACTAAGCATATGCGTGGACGTCATAAAATTCCCCACAAAAAAAATTGATGATTTAAACTTTACAAGTTTTATACATATACAGCATCTATTGACTTTGGCTGTATTATTTTATCTAAAATATATTTTTTTTTAAATCACATTTTAATAAATTTGGTTATTTTAATATTTATATAGTACAAGATTAGCAAAATACAGTTATAAAGTTATTTTATCATTTTTTGTAAATGTTTTTTCGATACATTTTTACATAATTCAATTTATTAGCGAGTGAAATCTCACATATACTGTTAGAACAATTTTAATGACTTTGGTTTAATTTTACAATTTAAATTAAAAAGGAAATAATTGTATATCTCACTACATAACTTGAGATATTTTATGAGAAAAAGACTCAATACTAATAAAGTAAAACCATTTTACACTACAACAACAGTAGCGGTCAAATGATTTTTCAATAGGAGTTAAAACCTTTATCATAAAAAAAATTCGTGGGAGCTGTAATCTCATATCTCGGAGCTTTTATATTTATATTTATTTATTATATAAAGATACTATTTTGAACTAAAATACATAAATGTCTTTCTTTCTATTAAGTTTCATAAATATAAAATGTAAAAATATCAATTAGGATATGTCAATACGAGGGATCTATCCCCCTAATCCCCCCCTCATATACAACTATACAACAATGATCAATCTCATATTATAATCTTCTTGTTCCTCGCCTTAATCCCAACTACTTAGGGTCGACCATCCTTATCCTAAACTTCCACTTGACACGATCTCCCACATCAGCTGTCTTCAAATCGCATTCAATAGTATCCCTCCATCTCTTTTTTGGTCTTCCTCTACCTCTTCTTCCTTCATCATTCATTTCTATAACTGTTCTTACAGCTTCCGATTCTTCTCTCCTCATAACATGACTAAACCACCTAAGTCTATTTTCTCTCATCAATCGTATATTATAATATTATTCAAAATATCTATTGCACTATTACATAGCAATGTACATAAAATAAATGGGATTGAATGTAAATTTTGATTGAATATTACATCTGAATTAAAACTATACTGTACTTATCGATTTAATTTAACTTTCTTACTTCGTATTAGGAATTCGTGTGTTCTATTTCAATTCATTCTGATTACCTTTTTTTATAGTAAAAACAAACTTCAAAAATTAAAAAAGTTTAATTCCTCGTTTAAAAATAAAAAAAATTTTTAAAAATATGAATTATGTAATTGAAAGCTTATAAATTAGTTTTCACAACTTAACAATAATTAGAAACAACAACACTAATACTTAAGATTTTACTGTCAGAGATATTTCTCAAATAAAATGGATTTTATTTATCGTTTTACCTTAATAATACCTCTAAAATATATTTCTGTAATAAATGACGCAATAAAAAAACAGAAAGCGAATGCTTTTACTCAAAGGTTACCACTTTTAGAAATTATAATAGTTTCAGTGGAATATATTTAATTAATGTCCATCTTTTAATTAATTATGAATTAATTATTTGAAATTACTGTTTTATATTATTGGAAATAAAAACATATTCATCTTCATGTAATTTTCGGACTAAACTTTGAATCAACAACAACCTACATTACTTCCTAAAGACAACATTGTTAGCCAACCTTATTTAATTTAACCAAACATATTATTACAAAACTCTTGTACTAGTTATAGTAAATAGCTAAATGTATAACTATGGACCAATGGCCTGTGATGCTGCTGTTATTAAAAAAAAATCTTTTCTTAAGAGTTCATTAATTTTTTTAGTCAGCTTATAAGTGATAACTCATACTATATATCGATTTAGTCCAAACATTTAACATGGTATTTAAAGTATCACTGATGAAACAAATTTAATAAAGTTTATTTATTCGTCGTTATTAATACAACCATCTATAATTTTAACTTATATCAATTAAAGTTTATCCATTAGGGTTAACGCTAATTTTCTTTCATATTATGTTATCATTGCGGAAAATAACTCCAGATTATTCGATTATAATGCTTTATTATTTATCAGTTCTTATATATTATTAGTTAAGTCTTGAGTATTAAGTGAATTAAAATTTATTGTTATACATTTTTTTGAATAAATTATTTTAATTGACGTATTAAAGTTAATGTTCAGTTTATGTGATTAAATAATGTATTACTAGGTATTCCGTTTATTAGACCGTCCCAAATGATGTCTTTTCATTCTCGCTTCACATACATTTATCCGGTCTCCGACACTAGGGAAATGAGTTTATATAGTTTAATTTATTCTCACCACTAAACGTACACTCTTTTTTTCCGCTACACGTCAAGAAATCTCAATAGTGTTAAATTTGACATTCACAACTTGAACTCAATCCCTTTTAATTTACTTTAAATTAGCTAACCTATATAAGAACCTATATTAAAAAATTTATTCTGCCTAAAGCTCAAATTGTCGACAGCGTTTTATATCTCTTATTTCTAATCGAGCGGATGACCCAAAGTAATAAATTGGCTACATAAAAAATATTACAATAATTGTAGTGAAAGGCGAGGTGTAAAATATCAATCGATATGATATAGGAAGGTGCTCGTGTCATATTCACTTGATAAATATTTCTTGTAAATAAATACACACTCACATATGAACACTAAAAAATTCAATATGTCCGCATGATAGATATTTTTCACGCTTTGAAAAACATGCCATATCGGAAATATAGAATTTAAGCGATAGTATGTTTAACGAGTTGAAGAAAACGTGTCGACTGACACAAAAAGTGATGAGACAGACGGTAAAAATGTAACGTTTTTTCAATTTAACGAAAGTAGACTAAAAATAAAAAAAGCGACAACACAAGAGAGGTTAAAGGTTTACCAATGAAGAGATGTTATTATGGCGTTAAAAAATATTATACATATCATGAATAAAAATCTCTGCTTATGAAAAAATGAAATTAAAATACTTTTTACTTATTAAAGTACTTTTGACAAAAAAAAAGTCAGAGAACATTTACGTCGACTCATTGTAAAAAATGACACACTTGACTTTAAATTGAACTAGAAATTAGTAAAATAGTATATTGAACTTCGATTTATATTAATTTTTTATCAAATTAAAGTGCATGATTAAGAGGTGAGCCAACATTAATACAAAAAAAAAAATCCAATTAGCCATTTTAAAAAATAATTAATTATCATTTACAATTGTTTAAAATATTTTTGTTGGATACTCTTTTAGAAATTATTATTATCATTTAAACAGGACGTTTTTTTGCTTTATTTTATTTTGTAAAATTATTATTTATAATTTGGCTGAGTTGTCGATAACATTCAAATAAATGTACTTATTGAAAGGTATTGTTTTATTGGTATTACAATTTGGCAACTATGTTTGAAGCAACTAATTGTTATATTAAATTATTAAATAAAATGTTCGCTGGTCTTTTATGTTTAGTTGGCTGTAATGGCTGTATTTTATAAAGTTATTATAATAAAATGTTACTTTATGCACTACATGTTCTTAATACATATTTTAAGGTATTAAAACTTCTCTCATTTTAAGGTCATTATCGTTTTATGTACTGGAGATACTGAATGCAACAAAGTTAAAATTGAATTAAATATCTTATACGTGACTTGTTGGTTAAATAATTACTGACTGACATATGGACTACTAAACACAGTTAATATACCTCGTTTAAAAGCAGACGGATAGGGTGTTCCAATAGGAATAGGCCAGTTTTACTGCACCAGCGTATTCCATGTCATATGTACGCACTATTTCCGCGTCTGTCCCTTAAGGACGATCAGCAACTCGGCAGTTAACAGTTGCAAACCGGCTCCCAGTCATGTAGGTACCTCCCCGAACAGCTTCGGAACAAATCTGTGTTCGGTCGTGGTTAACGAAAAAAAATATTTTCTCTTTGAATAGTAAAATATTTAACAGTTATTCATGGCACGTAAGTATTACATGATTTTTTTTTTATTGACAATTAATACTTTAAACGTAATTATTTGCATGATTAAATAAATAATACACCTTTACAATTGGATTTTACATGATCTTTTTAGATAGATAAAAGCGTCAAAAGAACAACTCGACCTTTTCAATTATCGAGGTAAAAAAATATTTTATTGATGATAAATCAATTATACTTGGGTTCTGTATAAACTGATTTTATACTCAGGATATTCTCTTAAAAAAATAAAAAATTGAAAAAAGTGTGAAAATATTTTTCTATTTATCAAATGTTTACCAAAAATAACTTTTTTATAACTATTGAAAAGTTACCGACTGAAATTATAAAATATTTTACAAAATGAAGTTATATTTGCGCTAAAAAGAACCTTGTTCGCACAAGTTTTATTATACATTTTTCAACTTAAAATACTCAATAAAAAAATGAAAATATAGCGACATACGCAAAGAAATAACACAATCAAGTTTTTTGTTTTCAAATTTAAATAGGAATTAAATATTCAAAATAAAGAAAAATTTGAAACAATAATGCATTTGCAAAATAATTTTTCAAATTATGGTCTGTATGGATGTTTTTCTAGATTCTTGAACTGCAAAAATAAAAATTTACGCAGGGGTTCATTTTATTTTATTTTTTTATACAGGTTGAAATTTTAAATAGATTACTACAACATTTTTTTAACGAAAGAACTATCTAAAATTTGGGTAAGCTTTTATTTTATTTTAAAATAATTATCATATTTAGAAGAAAATGCATATAATACTACATCGTAGTACAAGTTAAATTTTTAACTCAATTAGATTGATTTACTGTCGAAAGAACTTGGCTTTTAGCTTCGATGTGTAACTGAGAATCTATTGATTTTATTCTACCATGATATTTTTTCTTTTGTGAACACTTTTAATAGATAAGGATTAATTTTATAATTAGGAGCTAAGCTTGCTTAGTTGTGTTATTGCCTAAGGTTATAATTTTAGAAACTTAAATGAATAAAATTAGTTCTTAAACAGTGAAAAATAATATTATATTTCAAAGACAATTAATCCTAATTAAAAATCTGAAATTGTGTTTTTACGAATTATAAATAAATAGTTCTTTTAAAAATAGTAATATTTTTTAATAGTAAACATTTATTTTAAAGTACATTATAATACCACAATCAAAAAGTAAAAACTAAGTAAAATAAATTTGACTAACTACTCCAAATTATAGAAATAACACCTTCACAGGAACATAAACTTCCATATAATATTCCTTTAATTTAACCATAAAATTACTCGACTTGTTATATTTCTGTTTGAACAATAAAAAATATTTTCTTAAATGTCTAATTAATTATTTTTTAATTAAGAGAGTATTTTTTTATAAAAAAAAATGGCATATAATATCTTTATTAACATAAGGTTAATATATAATTTTTTTTTTTTTATTATAAATTAAGTTTGAATTTAATTTGATTATTAAATGATCATTTAAAAATATCTTACTATCTTCTCAATTGGCACATGTTTAAAAATCAGCATATATTAAATATATGATAAACATATAATATAATGACTATACATTTTATAGTCATTATAAAACAAAAAATTTATATTTTCTGTCTTAATATTGTTATGTATATCTTGGTTTGATAATTTTATGCAGTTTATATCATTGACGCTTTCAATCTTTTAAAAAAGAATCCTGGAAATAAAAAAATATTAGTGACAGTATTAACTTAAAAAAATATATTGAGTTTATCCTATAAGATACAATAGAATATGAAAAAGTTTATATTTGTAAAAATTATTAGTTAAGAATTAAATTTTATGTTAAAGTTTTCTTGATGTTATTGATGTTTTGTTTTACTTATTTTTTCGTGTAAAAAAAAACTAAAAATATTAAGACCCTGACTTTTAAAAATATTTGAAAAGAACGTTATACGTCTTAAATTTAAATTTTCGTTTATTGCGTTTTTAAGCGTCGAGGTAGATTTTGTTATTGTTAAATTGTTTTTTTTTTTTTTAAAAAAAATATAGAACTTTTTACTAAATAATTACTTATTCAAACTTATAATTATCTCTCAAAAAAGTAATACCATGTATGAAGTATTTATGAAAACGAATATTTAAGAATTAAACTGCACAATGTAAATATATCAAGTGCATCAAAAGCAGTAACGTTGCATGTACTTCAATGTTTATCTGATTGTAAAGTTTATTTAGGTATGATACAAACCAAACATTCGCACTGTTTTTTTTCTAACTACTAGTCTTAAGTACATACAACACCCTATGTACACAAATATTTCAATTCCAAAAGACTTATCATTGACAAAAATCACAAGATTACACATAGGGTAATAATTATCGAACATTTTAATCTGTCTTACTAAACAAAGTAAAGGGGTAGAGCAAACAAAACAAGAGCATATAACAATAAAGAAGTAACGATTCTTTTATCCGCACAGAACTTTATAATGATTAAAAACTACTCAAGGTTATTTTGCACATATTACACAGCGATTGTAACACATTGGTCAAATGTTTTGTGTGTACTGAATGTATGGAGGGAAAGAAGGTTAGTGGACTATACATGTGCATATGCCCGGAAAAAGGTATGCCGGTCGAGTTTTAGTTTTTCTCATGTTTCGTCTAGAGGTAATGGACTGTAAAGTAAACAGAGCATTAAAAGCTCAAGCTCTAAATTCTATCGGTCTATTTGGCAGAATCTATTGTAAATTTGGCCTCTCCGTCAAGAATTACGACGGCAATGGTGATGGCATATACCTGCTGACAATTAAAATGATGTTGAGTACCATCATTTTCAACAAAACACATAAACATTTGTTTACGACTTTATTTGTAACATCACATATCCTAAGATTAAAATCTCTTAAAATAATAAATTAGTTAAGCACTTCTTATTTTGGCTTTTTGTGTACATATTTTTCTTGATTATTTATTTTTATAATACCCTAAAATTAAATTAAAATAGTCTAATTTTTAAAATATTATATTTTGAATTTTTGATTTCTAATGTTATATTTCCATCTTTGAATTACTATAAAATTTTGAAAGATGTATAGAATAAACACAAATTTTTATTAGTCCGACATACTTTTTATCAGACTAATTCTTATACAGTGGGGTATCAAAACTTAAAACATACGTATAAAAGACAGAACACCATCAACTTAACTTTTGATAATGTTCCGGAAAATAATGCGTCCTTTAAACATATATTAAAATAAAGCTTATGTAGCATACTATAAGTTGAAAAAAAAATTATACCTACGACTTATCTCCCATAGGTAAAAAGCCTTAGAATTTAAATCATAAATGTTACTTTGGCGTAAAAAATCACCATTTTATATCGTAATAATTTTTGGTCAAATATTTATCCCTATATTATAGATCAAACAGTATTATCAAATAAAAAAAAGGGCAATTACCTCATTTAAACCCCTCTTTTACATAAAAAAAAAATAAATAAATAAATAATAAGAAAGATTTAAGTGTCAGTTATAATTAAGTTAAGGAGAATTTTTAAAACTTTCAAAATCAATCTGTTAAGTATATTAAAAGGAAAGGATTGTTTTTTCCAAGAAAAATCTTCTAACTTATGATAAACTTCAATTACAATTTTATCACTGAAATTCGAACGGACGAAGGTCCGAATATTCGAATTAAGAGTGTTAACTTTCTTTTCTAATATTTTCGTATTTTTAATATATCTTAATTACATTAATATAATTTTGGTATATTTTGGTTATAATGGTAACGAAATATCCAACATTATCTGTAAAAATTACAATATAAAATTATTAAATATCAAATCCATTAAATTAAATTGCTACAATAAGTATTTATTTATGTATTATACATATAGATTATAAAACTTACAATCACGATATAAAATTAGGTTTAAACGATTAGTTTAAAAAATAGAATTTAAAATTAATATTTGAATATGTTACATATACCATATTATTAAATAATAGGTAGAAAATTATTATCTACTTAAATTTTTGTATTCAATTATTAATGCTTATACTTAAGGTTAATTAACCTAAGTTATTAGCATTAATAATAATATAAACTTTATAATTTAATCAATGTAGTCTTATAAGAGTGAAAGGCATGTAATACCTTTTAACATCACTTTTTCAAAAAATAAGATTTTAGTGTTAATTTTAAATTTTTTCAGAGAAAATTTTTTCAACTTTTAATATGCATCTAATTATTATATTTAAAAAAAAGGGACTGTCCTTTTCAAAAAAAATATTCTAACTATCAATGGCTTATGATAAATTACAATTTTAATTTCATAGTTGAAATGTAACTAATTAACTAGGATTAAAATAATTGAACTTCCTTTTCTTTATTTTCAATAAATCCATGCTTACAATTTTGATATTACAGGTTGTAAAAACACTTATTACTATGTTCTAACCACTTATATTATACACGTTTATTTCCTTTTACTTAATTCGCAATACATATTAATTAGCATAGAGAGAAATGCTAATGTGACAATTCTAACAAAAAAAGGGCGGTTGAGTTTGACATAGACATAGTTTTCAATGCTATTACTTTCGTCTTATTTATATTATTAATAACTTAACTTGTTTTATTCAACGATTCGTCTATTGCCAATTGTCATCATAACCAACCAACTCCGTCTCACTTGGATATACCTACTGACCAACTGTACTAGGATTCAGGTCAGACATATTCTACATTACTATAACTTATTTTTACTGAACATCTAAAATATAATCTTACTTTGTCGCTGACAAAAACAATATTATAATTTTATTATACAGAGTGTTCAGTAAGTCAGGAAACGGGTTTCTATTGTTCTCATTGTTTGTAACAATTGTTTGTGACTTACTGAACACCCTGTATAATTGCTCTCTAGTAACTAAGGTACACGATTGTCTGTGTCTCCTTTAGGTAATTAAAACTCATTTAAGGAGATAGGGACAATATTAAAGCAGACGTCGGGTATCTTCCGATTCTTGGTTTTGATCTAGATCCTCAAGTATTAAACGAACCCCTAACAAGGTTGTTACGTTTTGTCGTAACTCAAAAATGAAATAATAAAATATAATTACAAATAAAAAAAGGGTCAGAATGTATATTATTGTTGGTGTAAAAAATGTGTAAGTGAGAGTTACTTTTGATTCGGGGTTTAATTCGAGGGTCATAAAATAACGATGTAAAAAAATCTTACTTGGTAAATTTTCTGTTTCTTATAATTATCCTTAGTGCTGATATTGGTGAAGATGATAAATAAAATACACAAGTTCAGATTTTTAGTTCACAAATTAACACATAAAATTTCGACAATGACGATCAAGACGTTCGCACAACTTAATGCGGAGCACGATAAAAACAGCGTAATGCGGACCACGAAAAGAATAGCCCAAATACAGAGCACGAAATGAACAGCCAGGAGCAAGGGTTGGCTTAAATGCATTTTACCACCCCATCGAGATTTTTCAAATTTTTTTTTTTAAATCAATTTAGTTTTTCATACCGACTAAGAATATATAAAAATTTTTTGTCGGCGAAGTCTAGTTTAAAAGTTATGAGCTTTCAAAGATTTCAATAATCATATACAAATTTTGTTATATACTGCTATTTTTTTTTGATAATTTTCATTGATTAACTATAAAAAGTATTCTCGATGATGTAGTTACCGAGGAATAGTAAAT